ATCCCCTTGTTTCTCCTTCCCCACTCCTCCCCTTTGGTAACTGCTAGTACCTTCTTGGAGTCTCTGAGTCTGCTGCTGTTTTGTTCCTTCAGTTGTGCTTCATTGTTATGCTCCACAAATGAGGGAAATCATTTGGCACTTGTCTTTCTCGTGTGGCTCTTTTCACGAGCATAATACCCTCTAGTCCCATCTATGTTGTTGCAAATGGTAGGATTTGTTTTCTTCTTATGAATGAATAATATCCCATTGTGTATATGTTCCATATCTTTATCCATTCATCTATGGATGGACACTTAGGTTCCTTCCATGTCTTGTCTATTGTAAATAGTGCTCTGATAAACATAGGGGTGCATAGGTCTTTTTGAATCTGGGACCTTGTTTTCTTAGGGTAAATTCCTAGGAGTGGAATTCCTGGGTCAAATGGTATTTCTATTTTTAGTTTTTCGAGGAACCTCCATATTGCTTTCCACAGTGGTTGAACTAGTTTACATTCCCACGAGCAGTGTAGGAGGGCTCCCTTTTCTCTGCATCCTCACTAGCATTTGTTGTTCATTGTCTTTTGGGTGTTGGCCATCCTAACAGGCGTGAGGCGGTATCTCATTGTAGTTTTAATTTGCATTTCCCTGAGTCTGCTGTTTTTACATGCCTAGTGAGCCTTCTTCCTTTTTCTAGGAAGCATGTCCCAGATGAATTTCCGGGAACCTTCTGTCTCCCACTGTGAGTCCATGTGCTTTAGATAGCTGACTCTTCATTGGCAGTAGGGAGAGTCCTGTGCCCTAAGTCTGTCCAGTTATTACATTCTATCCTCAAGGCCACAGGGGTCCTAGTTCCAGAGTGGCGGTGGGCGACTTATGCCAGGCTTAGGTTTCTGGTACTTCTGATGGAATTATGAGTAAGAATACTTTCATTTTTAATAATTGCTATTGATAATAATGATACAATATAGTTCAACTGTATGAGTATTTTTTAAAACTTGTAAATACAATAGGGTTATTTCTACTGATAAAATCTTATTAGACTTGGTCTATTTGAAGCAAAAATGTTTGTGGCACCTGAACTTCTATTTGTGTCACTTAAAACCAAACTGCGTTGCTATTATTAATTTTGAGTTCAACTATTAAACTATTAAATCAGTGTGCACTGATCAAATGCTAAAAGATATTATTAGCTTCATTTTTTGTGATTTCATTGCAAAAGAGCAGGGAAGCTTTTGTATAGCTTATGTAAAATGTAAGAGGAAGAACTGATGATGAACAAGGAACATAGCTTGAAACATCTGCTAATATTATAATCTGCTGTATTAATTTAATTGCTTAACTCACGAACACCTGTGCTTCACAGAAGAATCTAAGTATGAACAAATAACTCTCTTGTTGGGGGTTGGCAGTTTAAGTGAAAATTTGGCCTTCTTGTACACACATATCCATTGAATCTAGAGGTCTGACGTCTGTTGCCTAAGGCATCAATTTAACTATTTTATTTTTCATCCTAATTTTACTCACTGCCTTTTTTCTAAAAAGTTTAAGTGGTTAAAGAAATGCTGAGGACACATTAGTCTTCAAACTGACATTCGCAACCCTTTTGTTTGGAAAAGGCAGAGGTCACTGTGTAGGCCTCTTTAAGCATATTTAGATCTCCAGTGCAAAAAGCATGGCAAGGAAGAAATATTTGCTGACCTGGGGCCAAGGCATTTTTCAACGTGTGATTTTAAATTGTAAAAATAAACCAAACTCCCTCAAGAAGAGTGTCTTCTGCAACAACATTCAAACGTTTTCTTTGTGGAACCCAAACATGTGAACATTTGGCCTTAGACTGAACAGGAACTCTCTGGTTATTTATAACAGATACATACATCTCCAAAAAACAGCAGTTGCAGTGGGGAAATACGGCCAACAGACTAATGACAAGAGGCCCACAAAGCATCAAAGTCCATCACTTCTTTTGGACTTTTTATTTCACACTCCCATGTGGTGTGTTTTAGTCAGTATATGTATGGTCAGCTTTAGCACTTATACTATTGGCCATATTGAAAATTTTTCATTTAATTTTAAATTACCTTTTATGTAAGAAGTATCTAAAATGCATATGAAAACTAAACCTTAGCGTATGTATGTCAACTTTGTGTATTGTTTAACACCTTCTTTAAAATGCAAGTTTCTAGCTGGTAGCTAGAATTATCATGTATATAAATGCTGAATCACTGTGTTGTACACCTGAAACTAATGTAATACTGTGTGTCAACTACCCTTCAATAAAAAAAAAATGCAAGTTTCTTGATATCACAAAGTATATGTATATTTGTTATTAAATATGAATATTATGTATGTATCTTATTCTTAGTATTTTATGACAAATATAGGCAATATGAAAGTATATTTCTCAGATAAATGAGACTGAATTTGTAGGTCAATTTAACTAATGCTTGTGCACATTTGAGGAACTAGTCAAAATGAAAGTAGCAGAAGAAAAATTTACAATGTAATATACTTATATTCTACCTTATTTATTCTATATTACTTATTTTAAGTGTACTTACTCATAGACTTATTAATATAAATATAATATATGTTATTATATCCTATTTTCAATTAACAAACATTTATATTTGCTAATTAAAATATATTAGCTAGTTGACTAAAAGTTAAAAACTCTGCTTTTTCAAAGAGCACCTTGATATGAGATCTTGGATAAGTCATTTGACCTCAAAACCTTAGTTTGCTTCTTTACAAAATGATAATGTATATTTAGAAAGTCACATAAATAAGTAAAAACTAATTTCCTTCCAGATCCATACCAGTCATTATATTGAAATCAAACAATATTTTCTTATATTATGCTTTGATTTTACTTGTAGTCACCTAATAATTAAGGAAGATGCAAAAAGGAGTTCCTGCAAAAATCTTAAAGGCAATCATCAAATTGTGCACTGCAAAATCAAATTTAAAAATCATTTTTCATGTAGGAAAAAAATATTTCAAAGTCTAAGGTACTAAAAAAGTGAGGTCTAATCCAACAATTTCTTAGTGCTACAAATAAATCATTATCCTTTCAACTGTAAAATAACAGTCAACACAAGAAAACAAATTTCTCTATTGTTCCCTGTCACATAAACAGAGCCAAATCAGTACACAAAATGGCTTGTGAAACATCTCATGTTCATTTTCTTAGTCGAGTTTTTGGGTTAAGAAGTGACTTCTATAATTAAAAAAAAAAATCTTGTCAAGGCCAACATGGAGGCTTCATGATCAATATCATATTAAGTTACAAAAAAATAAATAAAGTTGCTATTTTAAATATACCTGAATTTTGTGTGTCTGTTGAGATCATGGAATTCATATGGGGTACATCTATATGATAGCACTTAATGGACTTGCAAATGCAAAGGGGTATCCTCTTAATTTCCATTAAGATCAAAACTTGTTCTTCCAAGATTGACAATAACCTAGCATAAATTCTTCCCTTTGTATCATTTATTTGGTTCAAGTCATCAGAGTATGATGTATGGAAGCATCATATGCCAACTGAAGCATGGACCATCAGCGTGGCGTGAAGAAAGGAGAAAAAGGCAAAGTTTAGGCTCTGATGTGCCTCATTGGTTTTACAGAAGCTTTTTGTTTTCTTAGCATCATGTGCTAACCATTTTTAGAATGGATTTGTTATAACACCGTGCTAGTTATTTTTGGCAATGTTCGGATTTCAGAAGGGAACCGTCAAGCTGCCCAGGCGAAATCTCCAAGGAGTTGTCCCCCTGCTTAATAAGGAGAAATCCCATCTCTGGGGCACTAGGGAAGAAAGAGCACCATGTCTAAGCAGACTCGGAGGAGCAGGTCTGGCGATGCCAACACATGCAGTGGGGCCCAGCATTGCCTTTGGCTGACCTCCTTCCCATGGCAACAGTAATGACGACAAAGGCCGAGCACTCAACCGAGAAAATGAACAAAAACATTTCGCCTAGAAGTTTTCAACTAATAACGTGCAGGACAAAGTTAATGATAAGAGTTTACTCACATTCTTAATAAATTCATTTTTCATTTAGAGGATCAGGTCCAGAATAAATACAATGGCTTAGAAGACTTTTTCCATCTACATTTATGATAACTGTACTTATTAATAATTATGAACTTGCTACAGCTCTGTTACAAATTGCCTGCATATTAACATGTCATTTATTTCTTCTTAATAATTGGTTAATTATTCTTTATTTTCCTCCCGATGGAATATCTAGGCAATTTACAGTAACATCAGTGATAACACACCAGTTTTTCTCGGTGAAGATATTTCAGTTAAGATGAGACTTGGTCTTAGCAAAAGGAAGAGCTGAAGACCCTGGTCAGGAACAATGATGCCATGTGCATAACTGCCAGTGAAATCTTCATGATCTTATTTTGGCAATTAATTTCTCCAGAATCAAAACTATAAATTCCTTATTAATTTCCAGGCCACTTAATGCTGTCTTTCCAATATTAAGTTTTAGACATTTTTTTCTACAAACACTTAATTTTTTTTCTTACATAGAAAGCTACAATTTATATTTCTCCAAGTGGAAAATTTTATCAATAGGATAAACTGGAATAAGGTAAGGGTCTAGTGCACTGAGTATTTCTTCAGTTTCAGAGATTAAAAAAAAAAAGTGTGGGTCAGTTCACAGAACTAGTAATAGACCCAAAAAAGTAACCTTTAAGATAGTGAATTTTCTGTCTGAGAAAAAAGCATTCAGCCACTGGCTAAATTTAAAATAAAAAGAATGATAAGACATTTAAAAAACTGTGTTACATTTAATACATACACATATAAACAACAAAAATATCACACGCCAATATTTTTTAAAAATCTACTTCTGACTGAACCACCTGTGATTTATGTCAGAAAGGAAAGCAGGTTTACAAATGGGGGAAACTGAGTTACATAATCCTTGATGTCCCAGCTACCCGGGTGGGAGAGGGGCCCATTCACAATTAGAAACAAATGCTTCGCTCTGGTGTGGGACAAAATGGACTGACCTTTTTTGGCAAGGCTGCTGTTGGGTTCATACTTCTCAATCAATACGTGGACTTGCTCCTGCTTTAATGGAGGGTAAAGGATTTCATTTAGCCGGGGGTCTCGCTGCTTGAGGTTGATAAAATCCATCATTTGATCAACAGTAAGGTACGGTTTGCTTTTGGCACCACTAAAAACAATTCAAAAGTAAGAAATCAAAACATTTTCCCACGAAATCTCATTCATGAATTTGCATTTAGTTACAGGGAAACAAAATCCTGCCATACCTAGTCAGAACATCCTATACTGAAATTCTTATCTTGCCCTAAAAACATTACGCTGTTTCATCACAACGACTTTATCTCTTTGGAACACAAATGTATTTTGCAATCACCACCACTAAATCCCAATGCCCTTGAACTATACCAAATGCATAAGAAAATACAAACTAGGAAAGCATTGCACCTTGTGTGTAAAGATGCACGATCCTAAATTGAACACGGAGGTGTGGAATGTTTTTTGGTTATGACATTAAACTTCTGGTTTAGTCATCCAATCCCCATTTCCCCCTTAATCATCTAAAGTTGTATTTATTACTCATTACTAAAAAAGTTAACAATGTTTTTCTTTTCATTAAAGTTATGCCTTAGCAAGAGTGTCCAACTAGTCAACATAGTGTTATTACTAACTTCCCATTTCAATCCTGTAGACAATCTAAAACAAACTCAATGGTACAAATATTGTAGATGTTCAATAAAAAGTTGATGGCAATCAATATCACAAAGTGGATATATCTAATGTCATTCTTAGCACTGTTAGCCTGTCTTCCATATGCAAAAACCCTTATTTTATCAACTTTGGACTGACTTTTTGTCATCAAGCAGTGTACCAAGAAAGGTATAAACTGCTATTTCCCCACATTTGCCTTGGTGTTTTTGGCTTGTTTCTTTTCTTTTTTCACTCACTTGGAAACAAATAATGATATATCATTTCCAACATAAAAGTAAATGAGTTTCAGCTGGGAGGATTCTTAGTAATCCAAACTTCTCATTTCACTAATGCATTTCGGAGAGGTAAAATGACTAGTTCTCTGTTCAGAGTTCTTCCTGTAACTTATATCTAAGCCAAGATGCCTCTGTTCTGGACATGATCTTCAAACCACACAGAGCCCCCTGGGGATACTACAACTACACCCAGCAAAAACTCAGCAAACGTTCACTCATTAAAAGCAGTAGTCGTACCTCCGGGGCAGGAATGCCTGATCGTCTCCAACAAATTACACAGAAGCACTGCTATTAGACACAGCGGACCAAGAGTTCCCTCCATTTCCCTCTATGGCTCAAAGTCCTGCCCCAGCCACCCTGGGTACCACTCACTGCAAGCTGAAAAAAAATGAGTTAAGGGTACTCCTCTTACAACTCAGAAAAGATGTTATCGATCTCAGGTCGAGGGCAAAGGTTGTTCAGGAAAACTCTGTACACCTCTGGAGTGAAATCTTCTTGAGGTATTGAATCATTCTGGGAAATAAAACAAGAGTCAGTGAATGGTCTTTTTCTTCGCCTGTCTTCCTCCCTTCCTGTTTTTGTCTCTCTCTCTTCCTTCCCTCCCTCCCGCCCTCCTTCCTTCCTCTTTTCTTTCTTCCAGGACGTCAGGGTAAACATTCTAAATCCATTTATGAGGCTAACTGTAGAGTTCATTTGGACAGTGGCTTTGGGATATCAAAAGTCTTATTTTCTGTTGCTTTTCTTTAGAATGAAGCTTCAGAGGTTTCCCCCTCCAAAGGGATGTTAAGAAAAATTTTTGAGTACATTTACTAAAGTTAGATCTAGTGAAAACAGGCTGTTTTTGTTGCCTTTTTTTCTTTAACCTTTCATTGGTTTTTTATGGTGATAAAATACACATAAAATTTACCACTTTAGCAATTTTTAAGGGTACAGAATGAAGGACACAGTCACATTTGTTTATGAGCTACTTAGCAGACTGTGAATGAATATATAATTTTTTAAAAGTAAAGAACCCAGAGACAGACATTTTCAGAATGAACACATAAATCCCCATTTTGCATCTTTTCTTTTTCAAATAATGTTCCTTCTGGTTTAAATAATCTGATAAATTGTAAAACAGTTTTCCTAAGTAGGACAGCACCAGCCCTTATTTCTCACTGATCCCTCTCGGTCCTATTGTTTGGGAGGCAAGTCATTAATATAAAAAGTCAGTTCTATGACTTATTTTTCTGTTTAGTCAGGCTACCATGGAAACCGGAAGCATGTAGTCAAGCCTTTGTGAACAGGAAGGACATTCTTCTTGGCATTTTCCTATTTCAGGTATGTGTTTATGTGATTATTTTTATTTTCAAGCCCTTAAACCAAAGAAAACACCCTTCCTTTTACCATATGCATGTTTTGAGATGGACTTTGACAGAAATAGCTAAAAATGATTGTCTGAAATTGCACATTGCTTGCTAACAGATAAGAGAACTTAGCTCACCACTTGGCAGAGAGAAGGAGTCCCATGTTTGTTGAATGAACAAGGAAAATAATATTTCCTTTACTAAATTCATTTATAGTGCAGAAAAAAAAATATTTTGCAAAATAGAATTTTGGGACCACCAACACGTTTCATACCTAGCAAGATGCATTTGCACGGTTAAGCTTAGGTACCTGGACACCCACTTGGAAAGCATGAAAGAGGGGCCAAATCTAAAAATAATGAGAAATTCCCATGGATTGTTTCATTGGTGTTTTGCCACTCATAAAACAGGGACAAGTATAACCTCTAAACAGGTTTCAAATTCCATTTAATTCACAAAATGAAAGAACTCCCTTGGGCTAGAGGATGCCCATTACTTTTGCCACCCTCTCTCTGAGTTAGACACCTGTGTCTCTTTAAGTACTTCTGTAGATAGGTGGAGATGACCCTCTCTACCTGCTCTGGCTAAAGACATAGGAAAGAAAAGGTTTAAAAATCAGTCACAAGAAAATACTCAATGACCAATGCAAGCATCAGACTTCACTGGATTTTATGAACCCCCAATGAGTTATTGCATTCTCCCTACTATGTAGTTACCATTTAGAGCTCACTCCACCCCATCCCCCCAGCCTCCCCCAGGACCCACATAAACAGATTTTATCTAAGGTTAATAATAATTGTCTTCCTTCTCTTACTGACCCCTTTTTTTCTTCCTTCTTGTGTTATAGGTTAAAATCTCTTCTTCCTGGACTGGGTTTTTCTTGCACTCTGTGCTACCATCACACGTCTCATATCATTTCAGTACTCATTTAGTTAAATTGTGCTTCCAGCTGTAGAGTTCTCTTGATTCCTTGCTAACCTGTAGATCTACACAAGTAGGACCTGTGTGCTGCTTGGTAACTGCAACTCCTCCAGTGTGTAACAGAGCAGGTACATAATAAATATTTACTAAATAGATGATTAATTTCTGACAAGGGCAGAAATTGATAGAAGGACACGTGTTATATGCTGTAGAATATCAGATTCAATTAATGCCATTTGCATAAGATCCCACACACAGAATTTCATAGAACAAATATATTTTACTAAACTGTAACCATTGTTTATTTACCAGCTGTGAATTAGGGGGACAACTTAATGAGATAATCTGAATAGGCACAATGTTATTTTCAATACCAGCTGGATGTTGGCACATAGAAAAAGGAAAATATATCAATACAGCTGATTTCCTTTGTCTCATTTTTCTCTTCCCAACTTGATGGGTGAGGATATTAGAAAGGCTCTGGGGTCAATGTATGAAAATAGGAGAAAAAACATTTTGGAGAAATGAATTAAAATGAGCATCAGTGAAAGCTAAAGTGAAAGAGTATAGGGAAGATAGGAAAAAGCTATGGACAATTCCTAATTCCTTACATAGGTTGAGATTCATAGGATCATTCATGGATTTCTTTTCCTGGATCTCATGATTTGATGAGTAGACAGTGAGTAGATTCATTTTGTCCTGTTTGAGCAGAAGGAAGCTCAAGATCTGATACTCTAAAGATCATATCCAGAGTTTAAATACTCTTCTGTGACTCCTTCCAGACCACACCAGCTAGAGAGTACATGTTCTTTTACTGTGTCCCCCAGCTACCTTTATATTCATTATAGCACTGATAGCACTGCTTTCCCTTAATTTTTATATTTCTGATTGTCTACTATACTGCAAGTTTCTGAGTGAGATGATTATCTCATATTTAATTCTTTTGTGTTCCCAGCATGATGCCTGGCATTTCATGAACACCTAATCAATATGTGTCAGATAAACCCAGGAGATAGGGTCAGACCATACGTCTTCTGTCTCCTAGTCCAGGGCTTGGTCTAGGACATCACGGCTCCAATCCTGAGCAGACCTCCAGGGATCAGTTGTTGCTCTTGTTAGCAGAACTTCTTGGAGGGGGAATTAAGTTCAATACAGCCTGAATTAGGCCCATTTAGTCCAGAAGCTTCAAAGTACTGGAAAACTTTAAAAAATGGATTTGCTTCAATTCCATGCTTGTGTACAAAGAATTTCAAAAGAGAAAGGTTTTTTTTTAAAAAAAAACTTGATGGTAGCACTTTTGGCACTTGCATTTTCATATTACACAGAGCTGGTTACAACACATTCAACCCCAAATTAAAAATAAGAAGAAAAAAAAAATACCCCACATAATATATATACATATGAAAAACTACTCAGAGGATAATAAGAATTAACACTTAATTGAGCATTTACTGCCTGCCAAGCATATGGTTCTATGGATTTCACTTAAATGTTTTCATTTAGTCCCACGTCAACTCTGGAGGTGACCCCTTTTTCAGATACAAACACTAGGGAGATGGGAGCTTACAAAACTTGTCTAAGGTTCCAAGTTGAGGCTAGAGGGAGGGTGCTATGTTCTGAATCCAGGTAGTTTAATTCCATAACTCACATTGTAATCCAGCAAATTAAGTGCTCACATCATTTTTTGGATCTGGTTTGTGTTTTCTTCTTTAAACATTTCTAGATTTAACAATTAATTCTGTAATAAACAGGTATTTAACATTCAGAAAATCTTATTTAAAAACATATTACGTTATACTAGTAAATTCAGCATTTCAACCTACTCTCAATATTTTTGTTCAAAAGCTATAAATCAAAAGTTGAGTTTGCCGTAGAGTAAATGAAATCGTTACAAGTAAACTACTCATAAGGAACTGAATATTTAATGTGTTTTGAAATGGAATTTTGACATTAGTGAGTTTAAGAATCACAGCTGCATAAATTATTAGATTTCTGATTTATATTCCAGTGTAAGGCATAGGAGATAGACAACATATTACAGTTATCATCCTGAGAGAAGCTCTTCTATAAATTTTATTCATAGTATTCTTTAGTAAAATTTATGGTTTTCTTGACATTCAAAATAATCACTGTTTTCTTTGGTGCTACATGTGTGTTCATAACTATACTAAACTTTATTACTTAAAACAAATATATGGATTTATTCCTTCTCTTCTTCATTAAAAGGCCAGTGCTGTGCCAAGACTATAATAAAATTACAAATGTCACTGAGCTGTTTTCAAGTTAATAAGCCTTAAATCAAAGGGGACTCGGTCCAAGTAAACTATTTACAGTTCTCAGAAATTCTGTGGGTAAAGTGGTAATGTTCTGAATATGGAAAAATATTCAAAGGTCTCACTGGAAAATATATTTAGATTATTAATAGAAGAACAATAATTGCTTTGTCTTTCAGTTTAGATACAGTAATACTTTTTAACAATTAAGGTAACTTTGGTGAGCAACTGTAATCTCTAAAGGAGTACCCCCCCAAAGGAATGTATTATTCCAATGGATCATGTTGGCCAGGATACAGGTTCAAGTACATTAATTATCCCTAACAATGTGCACAAAGATAATGTTTAAAAAATCTCAACAGGATATCCACCGTGTTTCTGGTAATGTATCTATTTACAGAACACAATTAAATCTAGTTTGAAAGACTGCTGGCTATGAAATGAGGTTCCCAGACATGCAGTACTATATACCATTTATGTAATCTTTTCTCCTGCAGAGTGTTTAAAACACCTCTTGTCAGTATACCCAGAATCGTTCCGCTAATTAGTGGATATTTTCTAGAGCCACTGTTCTGTAGATATGAAATGACAACGAAGATTTAAAATATAGTCAGTGCACAAAAACGTTTATATCCTAGCTCCGAAACTTGTCTTTGGTTTTTAGGCCTTTTAAAGCATTTACATTCTGCATGTCCTCCAAGCAAAATGTACTTTCGTATGAGTAACGATCTTTTAAAACTTTATGATGGAGGTTGATTATGACTTTTTTAAATCTCCATTTTTGTTTTCAGAAAATTGTCATAACATTTAACTTTCTGAAGGCAAATATTTCTTCAATTTAAACATAATTCCACTTATTTAAATCTCATATTCCTTTTAAAATGTCTTCAGCTGACATTGGTCTGAAAGCCTGACCCTATAATAGAATGCATAATAGACAGTGGATTGTAAAACTCAATTTTTTTTTTACTGACTGTAATGTCAGGATCCAATTGTTTGAAATAGAGCAATTTACAGAGAATTGGTTGATGAATTTGATTTTTCTCTTCAGCTTTACTTTCTCTTCCTCCTTTCCCTTAGCTAGATTTATAATAAGTTGAAATTTTTGATCACTGTATTCACAAGATGTTATCCAATAAAGGGAAACCAGGAGCAATTGCAGAGGAAAAACATTCTTTGTGCATCATTCCAAATTCATCTCTTACGCTTTTTTTTTATACTTAAATCCAGGAGGCATTTTTTAGTCACTTAAACTGGTAAATTGCTCCCAGCCTCAGGGCTCATACACATTTTTTTTTTCCTGGAGTGAGCTTCTCTTATTCTCAATGGCAGCCCTCTAGTTCTTTTGCTCACAGCATTCTTTCTGATTTAACATCAGTTGATGAGTTTCAGTAGCACCCAGGAAACTCCATGGGGCATGAATCCTGGGACTTCACTTTGTTGACTACAACAGTCTCAGGCCTCAAGGACACATAGCAAGAGCTCAAGAAATATTTGTTGAGTCAATGGCAGGACCTTAACTCATAGCTCCCGTGCTCCAAAGCATCTAACTGAAGAGCAATAATAAGAAGTTTGATCATTTTATTTTGCTTATGCAAGTGAAGGTGGAAATGTCTGGAGGAGCCTTTTCACAGCCCTGCCCAGTGTTCACAGCATCAGCTTCTTCCACTAATCCCAGGAAATTGAGAGTGGAGGAGCACATTTTTTTTTTCCTGCTACCTACCAAAATTGTTAAGTTTACTTCACAAGAATTGGCTGATGAATTTAATAATAGCACTTGATATTTTTCTGTAATTTAATCATAAATTTAAGAAAAGCTTCTCCACGTCCTTCAGTGCAACTTGAAAGTTTCTGGTGTGTTTCGAGAGTCTCAACGGTTCTTGCTAGAGTATAAGTGTTATCCGTGGATCAGATAGTAGAATAAACAGCCTTTGCAATAGAAAGGTGAGTTCTTGCATAGAGCACGTGAAAAAGATTTATGCTACAGACTCAGTTCTCCCAGAAACAATGGTAAATCATTTTAAAGCCAGGTATACAGAAATGTATTAAAATGAAGGCAAATTATTTTAGGTAGGTGATGTATATTGAGTACCACAAATGTGTTGGGGGCAAAAGGAAGCATGTTACATACTTGCTTTCTTATCTCCTCTACCACTAGCTGAGCAAGGTAGGTGGTTCCCAAATTATTTTGATCCTGCACCCCTCTCAGCAAAAACTTTTTGAACACAGCCCTGCAGGTAAGTTAATATACTTATTTCTAAACATGTACTACCATATCGTTTATTAACTTTCAAGCCTTAAAACTAGACATTTAAAAAGGATGGGATAAGATGACTATTTCAAATATCTTCCTAATCATAATCCATAACCATTAGCCAATATCTCAAGGGACATCAAGAAATTATTTATTGTTAATGAGAATTTTAAGTTCTTGATAGCATTATCTTTTGCCAATACTTTTTATATTAGATGGTTAATGTTTGTTTTTTATTTACAAAGGATGAGGGTCTTTCTAGATGAAAATACTGGATTATGGAAGTGAAAAAAATATAATTACAGTGAATCTGAATATTGTAAATTTTACTAAATGAGTCCTATTGTTTTCTTAATCAAAAAAATGGATGATACTGGGGCAAGCTATCTTTTAGTATGATTACTCAGAGCTATTTAGTAATGCTAATTTTAGAAAGGCAACATACTCACCCTTGAAGATGGAAGACTACAGGCCTCTAAAGCAGTTTCGACTCGCTTCCGGTCTGCTGAAAACAAGCGGTATATGCTGTGGAGTGAGAAGGGCAGCACATGAGAGATGTTTGAAAGGCAGATTGGTCACAACACATGTAGGTCCATTCAAACTTCTTTGTCATTCATCTTTAAAGAATGAAAAGATACCCATTGCTCCAGGCATCTGCATATGTGTTCTGAAAGATCTGTGTGTGTGCTTTTTAAAATCAAAGTGTCTAATATAAAAATCAGTATTTTGAGACAATTGTGCTGACCCAATTATAAAACACTGTACTAGATAGACTCTAATACTAAGCACTAAAATAAATATCCTTGATCAGTCTGCCCCCTTGCTGCTACCCTTTGTGCTTAAGGTGCACATTGTTAATATTATTAATAATAAATACTAGATTAATTATAATATTATTATTAATAATTTAACATTTTTATGAACAGGAGCCTACTGATAGCTAGTAAATCAAAGCCTTCTGGCTGAATATGGTCTATAGATGTACTTTCTTTGGTTAAGAATATGCTTTTAAAAAATATAATTTAGGAACTGGACAATTTAATATAGTAATTTGGATTTATGGATTCCACTGAGACATTGGAAAATCTAGTGTCTGAAGCCCACCAGTCTCACAGGGAATATAGTGAAGTTGAGTTGTTGTCTTCTTTAGATGGGGTTTCGCTCCAGTGTTCTTACAGCTCCTGGTCTGGTTCATCATGAAATTTCCCTGCCTGGCTCCTGTTGACGTTTGAGTTTGCGACTCCAGCTTGACCAGGATCATCTTGGTAGAGAGAGGCACTGAAATCACCCAGTTTCCATTCCTAGAGTAGGTCTGAAGCCAGACAGTCTCTTGGGTTTAGCAGCAAGGCTCTCCCCGCCCTCCCACCCCCTTCCTGCTTTGGTGTTTCTTGAAAATGATGCCACAGGAAGGGGGAGCCTTGGGAGAGCGTGCTCTGTGAGGAAACCAGCTGTACTGACACAAGCGTGGATTGTGAGGGAGAATGGGCTCACCATACACTTCCGCACTCCCTCTCGGCCCGTAGAGAAACAAAACAGAGCTGTGGCATGGATTCAGATCTCTGAGAAAAAGAACATGAACAATGGGAAATGCTCACGTGGCTTACTTTTTGAGAGGAATGCGCCCTTCCGGAGTGACTTGCAGCTTAAGTTTAGTATAGCTGTTGGAGAAGCAGAAAAGCAAGTATTTAATTTTTAAAAAGCTTTTTATTGAAGAATAAAATACACAGAAAAGGACTCATGCATATGTGCAGTTGGTTGAAGTTTCCCAAACTGTCCAGGTCTCTGAAATTGGCACCCAGATCAAGAAATAGAACAATATCACTTCAGGAACATCCTAGAAGCCCCTCTCATGCCCCCTTCTGGAGCCTGTCCTCCGAAAGGGAACCGTTATTCTGCCTTTAAACAACATAGATTTTTTTTTGCCTATTTTTGCACTTTATATATAACTAGAATCATTTTCTTATGTGTCTGGCTTCTTTCAGTCAATATTATGTTTTTGTGATCCATCCCTTTTTGTTTTTAGTTGTAGATCACTCGCTCTCATTGAGTACAGTATTCCACTGTATCAATATAACAACTGTGTTTGTCTCTTTAGCTGCTTGTGGATGTGTGGATAGGGAGATTTAGCAACAGAACCTTCAGACAATGCTGATGGATGTGTAGATTGGGATTATGACTTTAGGAAACTGCACATGCTATAATCCAACAATCCTGTATCTAGATGTATACGTGACACAAATGCGTACATGTTCTTCAAAAGGCATGTCCATGGCAGCTATTCACAGGGAGACATCTATTGGGAACAGACATTTGCCACAGGTAATGATTAGCCAACTAGATGCTTTACTAGCTACAGCATGCTATGTTTCAGGTAAAACATCTTTATCTCTGTGTCCCCTTCCATTACATTACCTGGCACAACAGATGTTCTAGAAATGTCTCTTAGATGAAGAACAGTAAGATCAAAGACAGTAAACAGGGGCGGTAGTTCAGCATGGAGAATACAGTTAATGGTTCTGTAGCACCTTACTACATTTGATAGATAGTGACTACACTAGAGGGGGTGAGGATTTAAAAAATATGGCGAACTGTTGAACCACTGGGTTTTATATTTGAAACCAACATAAGATCGTATACCAATGATACTTCATTAATAATAAAAAAGCCTAAAGACAGTATAAAAGAACAAGAAAGGAAGTGGGAAGGGGTCCCTGAGGTGATAAACTAATGAGATGAGATTATCATATGACAAAGCATTTAAGTGAAGACCTGGAAGGTACTAAGTCAAAGAAATTCACAGAAGAATAAGAAAGAAATGTGGGCTGGAGTCTCAGGTCTGGAATGATGGGTATGCCTTACCCAAGAACAGGGGAGAAAGAAAGTTACTAGATAAAATAGAGGACCACCCAGTGAATATTTCCACTTGTGGCTTTGATTTCAAAGCTTCCCTACCTTCTCAACATCCACAGTTTCCAAAATGAACACAACCAGCTTTCCTTGCTGCTCATCTGGCAGAAATCAGTATTTTCCTTGGTCAGATTATTTTTAGAACAACTGTGTGATTCCAGAGTGACTGGGTAATGCTGTTTTACTTCTTTCCTTCTCCTTTTCCTTCTGCTCTTTCGTCTATGTCCTTCCTCTCTTTTCTAACACTTGCTGTGATTGTCTATAAGGCAGGAATCAGTACATCAGCCTATTGATTTAAGTGGGCAGGGAAGTTCCTGTAGTGTCTATTGGAGATCAAGACCAGAAAAATGAGTATCATATGTTCTTCATTCTCTTTCTCAGATTAATAATTGATGTAACCCAGGCAGATGCAGAAATGGAGGGCTCTCTGAAATGAATAATTTCTGGTTCTGAGCACAGCTGCCAGGGTTTGGAAGTGTCTCCATTGTGGGTCCGAGGCACTGACATCAGAGGAGTTTGGCCCACCACGGATGTGCAGCGCACAGGAAGAGTGATCTTTCTTGGACGTCTTCCAATTCCAAAGAGTAGAAGCATAAGTTCTCTAACAAATCCCAAAGGGAAATTTATGTTTATCACTGTGAGAGGCCAGTGCAGCATCAACAAAAGACTAACAAAGGAGAAAGGAAACTGACACAGAAGAAGCAACACCCTTAGTAATAAAATTAGAGCTACTTACGCTTTTTCCAGAAATGCATCCCTGGACATGTTTTGGGCCAACAGATTTGATGCCAAACTGAAAACTTCATTTGTCCATTCCTGAAAAACATAAATCACACTTGCATTAGCTTGAAAACACAGTACTTAGATGCACATCTTTAGCCAGGCTACCAGGAAGACAAATTAGTTCAATTCTTATGCCTAAGGGTTTCATTTTTTCTTTTTTGTGGGGGGGGGAAGATGGAAATGGAAATGATACAATTAAATTCAAATCCCTGAGTGACTACTACTCCTTTCTTAAGGAAATGCTCTCTATACACAAACAAAATTTTATTTCCATTTTAAAATCTCTATGGACAGGGAAGTGGTATGTTACCTTTTAATAATCAAGTACATTTTACCATTTTTCTAGCATTATAAAGAGAGAGTTTATAGAAAAGTTTAAAATATAGTCAAATATATTTTCAACACACCTGCAAATACAATCTTCCTACTCTACTACCCAAGCCAAAGCAGCTCTACCAGGAAATCTTTACACCTTAATTATAACTCCATAAGTTCTCTAAACCAATTGCAGTCACAATGTCACAATATCCAGTACTGTCCCTCCCCCAACTCTGTCAATCCCTTATTACTCTCCTAATCTTAATCCCTACCTCACACCACTCACCAGATCTCACTTGGCTTCCAAGAAAACAGAAAAGAGCAAATCTACAAAAAAAAAAAAAACTGAAAATCTTTCTGGGTGATGATTTAGAACACACAATTAACATTCTGGGCCAAAAATTTCTTTTGTAAGAGAAGATGACATGAAGGCTAAATAATTTAATAATCCAATGAATTGACTTTGCTTTCTCTTCAATGAAACCACATTTTCTAGTTCAGCAACTTTCCCACCTAGTTTTGTTACCTCTACTACTGTATTGTTGGTCTTTTATGGTTTGCTTCCTGACTTAAGGCACTGACAATATGTCATCATGTAATGTAGCAACATTAGAGGTAGGACTTGGAGCATAGAGTGAAAGGGGAGGGAGGAGGGCATTCTAAGTGGAGAGAACTGCATGGACAAGAATCAGAGGTGGGCACATATGGCAGGACCTCCAGGGAAGGGGAAGAAGTCCAGTACTAATTGGAGAAATGAGGGAGAGTTGAAACAAAAAAAAAATAAAGAGTGGACCAGAATGTGGAGAACATTCATGTCTGGTTAGGTAGTTGGAGATCATTTAGCAGCAGATGTGCTATCACTGAAGGCCTTTTTTAGGGTGAGAGGTGAGCAGAACAAAGGCTACATTGTATGATGGGGAGATTACCTGGTAGCCAACTTGAGGATGGATTTGAGGCTGAGAAACTAGAGGGGCCATTCAATTAGGAATCTGCCATAGTCTAGGCAGGAAGTATGGAGGCCTTGAACTCTGTACACTCGGGAGAGCACTTGGGGAGCCAAATCACAGAACAGCTGTGAGTGAAGCAAAGGAACTGACCACCAACTCGGTATGCACAGAGAAAAGCATCAGGATGACTTTGCTGCAGCTTTAAAATAAAATTTCAAATTAGGTCATTTTAAACTAAGAGTAATAATAACTACTGGCACTGTTTTTAAAATATGTTTCCTGTATAATATTTTCTGGGCTAAGGGGAAAGCTTTAGACATTTACAGCTCTGTGGCAATTTTATGCATTGCCAAAAGTATTTATAATTGAGGGCAATATACCATTTTGTATGTTTTCTGGGGACCAACTCCACACCAGAAATAGTTGCAGTTAAGACACTATGAAGAGATGAAGAGTTGGGGTGATTTAACTGGGTCTGACCTTTTTAAGTTGCAAGCTAAGGCCTCTATTGTATTCAGTCCAATAGAAATATAATGTATTATTTTCATTATAAGTATGTAAATATAACATACAAATGTAACTTAAAATTTTCTAGTAGTACCATTTTTAAAAAAGTAGAAACATGAAATTAATTTTGATAACATATTTTACTAAACCCAGTATTTCAGTATTATTAATCACATAATCAACATAAAAATGCTTGAGTTCTTTTGTATTCTTTTTATGTGCTTAGACTTTGAAAGGTGTGGATTTTACACTTCACAGTCCATCTGGCAACCTTTCAAGTGCTCAACAGCCACACACAGCTGGTTGATGGTTGTGGCTACAACACCGGACAGTGCAAATCTTCTAGCTTCCTAGCTCTTTCTACAGGTCCTTTTTAAAGCCAGCTGGACAGTGTCATCATCCCCTTCACTGCACAGCTGCAGTTATAGCTTATTCAGAAAGTAGACCATGATTTATTCACACCACATTCTTAGAATGTGAGCATGTAAATTTCCAAGTGTGGAATTACTAGAATCCTCTTGGCCTCCTACAGCCTTTTGAGATATTCAAAAGATCTTACTCAAGCTGAATCAAAGAATCAAAGACTACAGCTGTGGCCAAGGGAACTTTGGAAATAACCCAACTCTTGGTTGGGTACTACTCTCAGTCTGTATCACATTGAGTTAAAACCTCATGTGCCTTATTTTGGGTTCCCCAGAAGCAGACCCTGAGAGCGAAGATTTACAGACAGTGGGTTTATTACGCAGTTCCCTGGCAACATTATAGGGGCATGAACAGGACTGGGAAGGGAAGAAGGCAAAAGAGTGAGACACCACGCAAACTCCCACAGCTTTGGCAAATTTGACTTACTCTCTCCCTGTGTAGACCACACCTCAAAGTTGAGTTTTCTTGATGAGGAGGAGCAAGGGAGCTGGAGTAATGCAAGTCCTGTGCCTGTGAGCCTTGGTTCAGGGCCACTGGAGAGGATGGACATCCCCAGGCACTTCCTGCTTTCCATGATAGGATGCCCAGGGGCTTCCATCATGCAGAGGGAGGAGCCAACAAAGAGACACGGGGGCTGGCTGTTGGAAGTGAGAGCGCACCGAGGTATTGTGAATGAAAATGGGGAAAGGATTGGAGGACGTATGGGCAGAGCACTGCTAGAGTCAGCTCCAGCAGGGTAACATAGTTCAGGGCTTTTGGGTACTACCACAAGTTGCTACTTGTGGGGAGACATACAGCCCAAGCCTTGGGGAAATTGGTTCACATACACTCTAGAGCAGTGCCACTCAAACTTTCCTGTGCATGGAAATCCCTGGGGGATCTTGTTGAAATGCTGATGCTGATTCAGAAGGTCTGGGGAGAGCACCCCCATCTGCATCCCAAGTGAGGTCTATGCTGGATCATGCTATATGGATAAGCAAGGTTCTAGGGTGGATCTGCAGCACTGATTGAAAGCTGGTTAGAAATGTAGGACTCTAAGCTCCACACCAGATATGTGACTCACAATCTGTATTTAAGAAAACAACCCTTATGTTTTTTACCCCTATCATAATTTAAGTATACTGCTGGGCCAGGGATAGCACTTTGAGGAGTGAGGTGTTCCAGGAGCAAGGTTTAGGAAGCATTATTCTAATCTTTGTATATTCACTTCCCAAGCAAATCGATACATTTCTCTGGTTATTTGTTCTAGAATAGCTAAAAAGCTCTTACAGATATAATAAATAAGAACAACGTGGCTAAAGAGATGTGGTCCAAGTAGCTTAAGCAGCCTTGGATCATCATGAGGTTATAGCATATGCTTTGCAACTGGGTAGACTGATCCTACCCTGGTGGTGTTCTCATAAACCCGGTGCTGGGCCCTAGTTAGTAGGGCGTTTGGAAGGATAGCTTTGTGTTTAATAATTTGGAGGATTTTTTCCCCTACTTGCAGACAGAAGGCTCTGATGACTGCTGCTAAACTAGGTTCAGCCCCTGTTACTTCAACCCTGGAGCTTCGTAGGAGGCATTTTCTACTTTATGACCAATCTCTTTTCATGAAGGGGCCCTCAGAGACCAGAACTAGGGAAATGGATCTAAAGATCAACTTACATGGAATTTCATCTGGAATTTAAATGCCCAAGTTTGTATCTTACATCTGCAAGGTTGTTTCTGCAATTCCCTCACCCTCCAGCTTCCAGGGCAGATACTGAGATTATTAGTCTTGACTGCCATTCGAGATACTAAGTTTTCCTATTATATCACAAAGTTAATGTACTTTTATTTCTAAAGCAGTTTAGGCTCCATCATTCTTGGCACAGGATTTATGTGTTTGCTTAATACTAATAACAATTGTTTCACAATTATCAATTATTCTCCTTAGTATTGTTTGAGTATTTACTATGTACTGAGCTAAGGTTTGGCCTCCAATAACTTAATTCATTCTTACAAGAATTCTTTAGGAGGTAGGTACTATTATTAGCTTTATTTTACAGATGAGGATTAAAATTTCAAAGTGCTTATAAAACTTATTTAAATCTTCAGAACTAATAAAAGTCCCTGTTTGCGATTAAAGTACTGGTTTCTTGGGCTTTGAAACCTTTACTTGTAGATATTGTGCTCTCTGTCATTTTGTTCTCCAAATGCCTTACGGCTGACATATACAATTCAACAACATAAAAAAATTAACAAATCCACTTAATTGTATTCTGTATAAAATGCTAATCAAGCACTTACTATGGACTAAGCACTTTACTAAGCATTTTGCAAATAATTAACTCATTTAATCCTCACAACTACCCTCTGAGACAAATTCTGTTATTCCCACCCAGTTTGTTCAAATGAGAAAGCTGAGGCACACGGGCATTCAGTAACCATATAAGGTCATACAGCTAGCTTCAGGCATACCTGAGATTTGCACCCAGTAAGTGTACCTCCAGGGTCTGTACACCTTACCACAATGCCTAGATGATGAAATAAACTATGAAGTAAACACCTTACCCATAGGCTATGATGTTGAAGGTAGAAAGGAAAAGACAGGAGAAATGGAAAGATGGAGAAAGGGGTGAGGTCATTCACAAATTTAACTAAAACTCCCTTTAACCAATGGGAAGAGAGAGATTCAAGCTTAACACACTCCACAGTTGCCTTAGATCCAAATGCCAGTCATGCAGCAGTTCAACAACTAGTTTTGAGAGCAGAGAAATTTCTTCATTGGCAATTCACACCTCTTAGCTTTTGGGCCAACTTATGCCTGCAAGGAGTAAAAAGACAAAGAAGACTTCTGGGAGAAATATCATTCTT